CCCCCCAGCGGTGGATTTTCCCTTCATCTGCACCTCCAGGCTTTCTCTCCAGGCTTTCCCAGTCTGTGTCACCACCCTGTTGTGCTAAAACCTCCGAGAAAACCTTTGAAAAGCCGCTCCTCTGCCCCGAACCCTGCAGGTAAGAGCAGGGCTGTGCTCTGGAGCTGCACACAGACCCACAGCCTGCTAGCGTGACGTGGGGCTCAGCCCATGGGGAAACCTGCGAGGATTTTCTCTTGGAAGAATAAAATCACACTGCAGAGCCCCCAGCAACCTCCCACCCAGGCTGCGATGTTCTCCCTCCTTTGCAGAGGGCAAGGGCTTGGTCCCAGCAGCAGGGCTGGGTGGGTCCGTCATGGTTTGGGGTTTTTCTTGTTTTTTGGGGTTTTTTTTGTTTTTTGTTTTTTTTTTTTATATAAGGAGACAGATGAGCTTTTGGTCTGGATATTGCAAAGGAATCGTCTCTCCTCTCTCCCTGCTGCAGGAGAGGAGCTGCAGGGATGACCCAGGTGGAAGAGAGGCGGGGGGATGCAGGTTGGAAAATGAAGGCAGTGCTTTTCTTCCTCCTATGGAGCCTTCTAAGTGATTTATTTTTTTTCTTCACCCCCCCTCCTCACCTCCTGGCTTCCCATGAGTGCAGCTGACAGCTTTCTGTTCAATACAGAACACATCAGGTACCATTCATTTCTTGGTCTCAAAATTGTGAGGAGCAGCCTGAAAACTCCTTCCTCCCCTACCTGGAGCAGAGAAAAACATGTAAATAATAATTGATCTGGAGCAGGTACAAAAATTAAGCACAATAAACCCCTTCCGCTGCGATTTGCAGCACTGGGGGAATATTTCTGTGCTGGAACCTGACCCCGAGCGTGGGCAGAGGGCAGCAGCCCAGCAGGACGGGCTGGCTGGCGCCGGAGGTTCTGTCCCCGGCAGCCCAGTGACCCTCCCGCGTCGCTGGCGGCTCACTGGGGGAGCTGGGGTGGGCAGCTGGAGACCCATCAGCGCTATCGGAGAGGGCACGGCCGATCGGGGCTCCCGGGGTCATCGTGGCTCATGTGTTTAGTCTTCTCCTGGGGAAATTTAAAAATTTTCTCCTTTTCTGCCTCCTGTTCTAAGGAGATGACAAGTTTGCAAATTCTTCACCCCTCCTCCAGTTTCCAAATCATTCAATATTTTTTTTAAAAAAGGAAAAACACCAGATTTTTTGATTCAGCCTCATGATTCAAGAGATTAAGGACAAAACACAATTTCCGCAGGGCTTTGGCTGAGCTGCTCTGCCGAGGGTTTGCTGAGAGCCTCGGCGCGGTTAGACCTTATCTCAGGTGTCAAAGCTTCCAGTCTGACCAAGCGCTTGCTGAGAGCAGCGGCTCTTCCCCATTCACCCTTCCTCCTCCTCAGCAGGGTCGCTGCCGCGCTGCACGGCGACACGGCTGCGGGCAACCGCACGCTGCTGACCCACTTTGTCCTCCTGGGGCTGACGAGCGACCCAAAGCTGCAGGCTCCGCTCTTCATCATCTTCCTCGTGATTTACCTCCTCACCCTGATGGGCAACCTCGGGCTGATCGCCTTGATCCGGACGCACCCCCGCCTGCACACCCCCATGTACTTCTTCCTCTGCAACCTCTCCGTCGTGGATCTTTGCTACTCCTCCGTCTTTTCCCCAAAGCTGCTCGTTGGCTTCTTGGTGGAGAAGAAAACCATCTCCTACTCCGCCTGCTTCGCCCAGCATTTTTTTTTCCTTGCCTTTATCACCACGGAGGTGTTCTTGCTGGCCGCCATGGCGTACGACCGCTACGTCGCCATCTGCAACCCTCTGCTCTACGCCGTGGCCATGCCCCGGAGGCTCTGCCACCAGCTGGTGGCCGCCTCGTACCTGGGGGGGGTTCTGAACTCGCTCGTCCAGACGTGCTGCCTGCTGCCCTTGCCTTTCTGCGGCCCCAACGTCATCAACCATTTCTTCTGCGACACCAACCCTCTGCTGAAGCTCACCTGCTCCGACGACCACCTCAATGAGCTTCTGCTCGTGACCTTCAACGGGACCATTTCCATGTCCGTGCTCTTCATCATCATCATCTCCTACGCCTACATCCTCCTCTCCATCCTGCGGATCCGCTCCGCCGCGGGACGGCACAAAGCCTTCTCCACCTGCGCCTCCCACCTCCTGGCCGTCGCCTTGTTCTACGTGCCCGCGGGGCTCAGCCACATGCAGCCGGGCTCCGAGTACTCGCTGGAGATGGAGAAGGTCACCGCCGTGTTCTACACCCTCCTCGTCCCCATGCTCAACCCGCTCATCTACAGCTTGAGGAACAGGGAGGTCAAGGATGCGCTTCAAAAAGCGACGGAAAATAACATTTTTATGCATTGCCTACTGACCAAACGGACCCCAACCGGTCGATAAAACTCCTGCTGGTTCCCTTTCTTAAATCAGGAGGAGCAAAGGGACCATCAGGTGTTTCCAGAAGCAGGTACAGCAAGTAAAAAGGATTTTAAAGCAGATTTAAAATCTGCAGAGACTCGGCATTGCCTCTGATAAGTGTTGTCATCTCTTGGTTTTTAATGTGAAATGATTTAATGTCATAGGAGGTGATAAAAATAAGGGATTTCCTTCTTAAGCTTCGCTGCTTAAGGAGTTTCACTGATTCGAGCAGAGATTCCTCCAGAGGTGAGCTCACGGAGGGCTGGAGGCTCTGGGGGAGGTTTGTCCAAAAAAAAAAACCAAACCCCCCCTCACTTTGGGCTCAAGGGGAAAAAAAAAAAAAAAAGTCATTTTTTTCCAGGGGGATGTGCCATGGGAAGGGAGGGAAGCAGCGACCTCGTCCTCTGCTTCCTGCAGCTGCAGGAGAAACTCGGCTGAGCAGGTTTTCTCCCTGGGAAGGGACCAGCAGCAGCTGGGGGAGGCATTGCCCCTATTGCCAGGGCTTCAGCCTGATGGAAGGTTATTAGCTATGGAGAAGGGTTTTTTTTCCTCCTGTTTTCTTGTCTTGGGGCAGTTGTGGATGATATTCCCTCCCCGACACCGCTGCGGGGTTGAGGACGTGCCGCCGAGGAGCCCTCGTGCAGGGAGAGCTGGGGTGCGGGTCTGAGGGAGGAGAGGGGGGTCACCCCTCATTTAATGCTCGTTTGCGGGGCTGAATTAGGCCAGACATTGGGTTTTTTTCAGAGCTCAAATAGCAGATAACTACTCCTGGCATGATTTCTTTCGGATGGCCGGAGAAATCCTGACCCAGGCACACCCGCTGTGTTGGCATACCAACAATCCAAACTTTTTTTTTCCTCAGAGCTAAGAGTCTACCTTGGGAATACCTACTGTAGAGTGAAAGAAAATCCACCCAGAGCCTGCAGCTGAGCAGGAGCTGTTTTTCCAAGAGACAGCCACAGAAAAAGGCGGTGAGGGGTCTTTATAACACCTCTGGTGGGAGCTTGCTTTATCCTCAGCTTGGACACTAGAGGGTCTGGTCTCACATCCATGGCAGCACAGCTCAGGGAGCAACTGGGACCAGTTTTTCCCAACGGGAAGGCAAACTGGGAGCTGAAGGTGGCCACGACGCCGGGCATGGTCCCACAGCAGCTCCCATTGACAGCCCAGGGGAAACCAGCGGCCGGATTCCAGCCAGGAAAGCTGAAGAATGGACTGGGACCGGGACCAAGCAGAGCCACAGCCCAGCTCTGAAAGCAGTCAAAGCCCCTGGGCTGAGCTTAAATAGTGCCCCGAGCCCCGGGCAGAGGGTGTGGGCGGGAGCCCAGGTGATGCTGGCCACGGTGATTACCCTGGTCCCACTCCCTGATGATGTCCCAGGGAGGGGGGAACTGGGGAACTGGGTTTTTTCCCCCACCCAGTGCCCTGAGCACAGCCACAGCACCGTCCCCAGCCCTCTGCTGTGTCCCAGTGCACAGAGGACGGAGCAGAACGGAGCGATGAGCTCCTGTTAACAATTCTCACCCTTTCTTCCGACTCACGCAGAATAAAACACTTCAGATGTCATGTTCTCTATTTCTCAGGGAAATTGCCCAAATGCCTCTAACTTTCACGAAAACTCCATCAGAAACTTTGGTTAAAAGCTTTCTGGTGTTTCACTTCACACCAGCTTGAAGCTGGTTTAACTGGTCGCTGTTACGTTCATTCATTGCCCATGCCAGTTCTTTTCGGAAGACCGCAGTTTACAAAGATGCTTATTTTAAAAAACATAAAATTTATTTATTTTGTCACTCCACAAGCAACAACGGCTGTCCGTGTTCTTCCAGAAACTGTGTAGCTCATTAAACATAAACGGTGTGTAGTTAATTATACATTAAAAAACGCTTTGTCTGCTGTGCATCCTCCACCTCGGCCGTGCGGGGACAGACCGGAGAGTCAGCGCTCAACTGGGCTCAGTTGGCCGTTGGACCAATTGCCACACACACGGACCCGTTCCTGACCACCCAGAAGGGAGAGCTGTATGTAGCTCTCTATAGATCAGATATAAATGTATCCATATATCACATCTATGTATTCACCAGATTCTTCAGGGGAAGTGATTATCACGCATCAATGGAACGTTGGCTGTTGTTGCCCCCAGTTGGAGGAGCCTTTTGGTGGGCAGTATTCTCACTGACCGCGGTGTAGACACCAAACGTCGCGGTGATGTTTCAGTTTTGCCCGCAAAGCGCTGACAATTATTTGGATTAATTACCGAAAGCTCCCACCACGATTAAAATGAAGTTGTTTGAAGAGCACAGCTTGCTCTGCTCATCTCCACACCCTGTCCTCGCTGGGTGAGCTCCTTCTTCCCAGAACACGTGTTCCTTCGTTATCCCAAGAGCTGCAGGTGCCTCGGGCTGTAGACGAGAGGGTTGAGGGAGGGGGTCAGGAGGGTCTAACGCTGAACCAGCTTTGTCTGATCCCAGCTTGCCAGGCTGGGCGTAGGCGAGCATCCCCGGCGCGTAGAAGCTGGTGATGGCAGCCCCATGGAGAGAGCTTTGAGGGTCCTCCTGGCCAAGGGGCTGTGCAGGACGGTGCGGAGGTGTCCGCGCTGGGTGCCGCGAAGGATGGCTGTGGTTTTACACAACACTGCTCACTCCTCCTCCTGGGGATGGGGGGAGAATTAAAGGGGGTGGAGGGAAAAGAGACTCGTGGGGTGAGATAAGAACAATTTAATAACTAAACTGCAATAATATTGGAAATTATAATCATTATTATAAAAATAATAATATATAAAAATGACACGGTTCACCACCCGATGACCAAGGCTCAGCACATTCCAGGCTGATTCTTGAAGGTGCAACATCTAACACACCTTCTGGAAGGTGCAATCTCTAACACTTCTTTTTGAAGGTGCAATATCTACCCCTCCTTCCCATGGAAGGACAGTCCTCTCCTTTCAGCTGCCCAGGAACCGTGGCTGGACAAGGAGGAGAGGACTCTCCCTTTTGCTTTCCTCATGGCGTTCTTCATGTCCGTGTTCCTTAGGCTGTAGATGATTGGGTTCAGCACGGGGACTGCAACGGAGTAGAGCCTGGAGACCACCTTGTCGTGCCCCAAGGAGTGTCTGGAGCTGGGGCGCAGGTACGTGAAGAGGGAGCTGCCGTAGTACAACGCGATGGAGACCAAGTGAGAGGCGCAGGTGGAGAAGGCTTTGTGCTGGCCAGCCACAGAGCTGAGCCACCAGACAGTGGAGAGGACCAACAAGTAGGAGATGAGGGTGAAGACCGTGGTGCTCAGCACGTTGAACCCCACCACGGCAGAAACCGTCGTTGACACGGGTGTCAGAGCAGGAGAGGGCTAGCAGCTGTGGGCCATCACAGAAGAAATGGTTGATCCTCTTGGACCGGCAGAACGGGAGATGGAATATGGAAACCGTGGGTGTGGTGGAGCTGATCACACCGGCTACGTAGGCACCAGCCAACAGCCCAACGCAACGCTGTGGGGGCATGACCACGGGGTAGAGCAGGGGGTTACAAACGGCCACGTAGCGATCGTAAGCCATGGCTGCCAGCATGTAGCACTCGGCAGTGGCGCAGATCGCGAAGAGGAGCTGAGCAGCACACCTACCGAGGGAAAAAACCTTCTTCTCCACCAAAAAAATCAGCAAGGTTTGAGGGATGATGGTGGAGGAGTAGCAGACGTCCAGGAGAGACAAGTGGCTCAGGAAGAAGTCCATGGGGGTGTGTAGGCACGGATCGATTCTGATTAATAGAATTACGCCCAGATTTCCTACGGGGGTGGCCACATAGATGGCAAGGAATAAGACAAAGCATGGCACCTACAGGTCTTCTCGGCTCATGAAGCCCAGGAGAATAAAAACTCGGACGCAAATGTGCCGTTATCTTCAACATATTGAATACATGAGCAGCTCAGCCGCTTTATGTCTTTCCACTGGAAATGCTTAATAACATCTGTCAGGAATGTTAAGGATGTCAATTTTTGTCTGTCAAGCAGTTAAACCACTTCAAGTCAATTGAAGGTAAATTCTTTCTGAGAGAGGAAAACCTCAAGTTCCCCTTCAGCCTTGGATGAGCGCACACAGCCACTGGCGAGGCGCCTGGAAGCGGGTGGATGTTTAAGGCAAGGAAGCAGAGCGATACCGTGCTGGAATAACCCATCAATGCATTGCAGAGCTTTCTCATAGCTCCTCTCAAGCCACTCACACATCGAAGTCTATTATTTCCACAATAACTGATGGGAAAATAAAATTATTTCTCATCTTTTGAGTGCAGCCAGTCCAGCGTGAGGCCATGAGGAATAAACATCCATCCCCCGGGTCCCAGGAGGACCTCTTCCAGGTGAAAGCACTGTAAAATGCAACTTTCCTTAGTGGTTTTTTTTTTATAATTGGGTTTTTTTGGGGTTTTTTTTTAGGATGGTGCAGTAATCAGAGCCAGGATTTGCTTCACTTTGCCTTAGACATGATGCCTAACTTGGAGATAAAAGATAAATTCAGGTTTGCTCTCTCTGCTCACCAGGGAGAGATCAGCAGCTCCCAAAATCGCACCCGACGACAGATAGAATAAATAAACATTGATTTTTTTCCTGGATAACATTAATCATGACTTGACAGAGTGACACCAGAGAGCAAAGCAGGGCTGGACGCTGCCCGGCGTCTGGCAAACCGCTCCGAACCAAAGAGTCGTAATTACTCGCTGCCATGTGCTGAAGGGCTGAGGTTCACCTCCAGCTCCAGACACCTCCTTTCAGAGGTCCCACGAGCACCACAGCTGCTCTCCGGGTGGTATTAGCGGGGATTTAGAGCCGCTTTTCACCGCTCACAGAGAGATGCCGGAGGCAAAGCAGCGCCTGAGACACCCACGTGCTGGAAGGTGAGTTACAGATAATGAAAATCGAGCTCATGGGTCTGCGGCTGGATCCTCCCCCCGAGGCAGTAGCAACCTGCCGACATGCGGACATCTCCTGCCGTTGGAAAATTAACCTCCATTGCGCCATCAACCACATCTCACCCTGCCTTTTTCCTGCCTGACAAGCCAACTGCTTCACCTGGAGCCATCCAAGGTGTAGACGTGGAACCCAGGAGGGGTCTAGGGCTCAAGAGCTGCCCACCAGGGGCTGCAGCTCCCTGGAGCTTGAAGACACTGCCTAGAATGGAGATAAATTAAATCAAAACCCCACACCTTGCTGCCTTGGATTAGATATTGTACCTGCTGGCAGCCAGGTGGTTGGGCCATGCTCTGCTAAATAACGGCCAGGAACCCCCAAATATTTCTCCATGTCCCCCTGGGGGAAGGACTGTCCCTTGCGACATCTCCTTTCCTACTCATCTTCTGCAAGATCTTCCTTCTCTTGGCCAAACCAGCACAAGACCTTCCAACAAGCCACCCCAGAGCTCACCAAGGACCCTCTTGTTGGGTTTTTTTTAGTATTTTTTGTTTTTCCTAATGAGATTTGGGGCCAAAAACCTTGGCAGGTTGTGTGCAGCCACTGCAGCCATCGCATCCCTCTGGGGGACTTAGGACCAGCTGAACATGACCTGCTCGTAATTTCCCCTTCTGAAGTCTCTCTGCCGCTCTCTGGCAGTGGACTCACCAAAGACCTGCCTGATCCCATTCTGACATTTAACTTACCTAGATGCCATTGGGTGTGTGGCTTTTCAGCAATATTTGGGTCCAGAACAAGAGCAGCATTTTCTTGCAGGTGGCTACGGTAGTTTCGAAAGTAGGAAAAGTATCATCAGCCTGAAATACGGTGAAGTCTGCCAGGTTGTGTCTGTATTATTGTTTTTACTCCCTATCCTTGTTCTGGTCATTAAATCTGAGTCACTCAGAAAATCCATAAAAATGCAACCTGTGCTCAAGTGTGCAACGATGCCAAAAATCCGCTAATGAATTTTAATTTGAAGGAATGCAGAACACAAAACCTACTCCCCCCCACCCCCAAAAAAAAAAAAAAAAGGAAGAAAAATCTTTTACAATTCTGTGTACAACTGAACACCTGGCAGGTTTTGGTCTCTAGCTCCCAAAAATTTGTCCTGAGAATGAGAGAAGATGCCCAAATTTGTAAGCAGACTCTACGTTAACAGTTTGTAAGCTGTGCTTGAAGTTTAATTTCATTGCACCAAAATCTGTACAATTTCAGCGCTGGCTTGCTCAAAGGGGAAAAAATAATAATAAATGATAAGGTGTGAAAAGAGTCGTTCGGTGGCCTTGGCACGTGGTGCACGGGCTGGGGCTCGTCCCCACGGCCAGTCCCCTGGGTTGGAGTGGGATTTCTCATGGTGCATCCCAGCCCCTGCAGGACTCCAGGAGGAAATACCAAAATGAAACTGGAAACAATGTTTTTTGAGAAATGAAAAGCTAATTATGGGGGTGTAGTGATGGTTTGGTTTTTTTTCTTTTCGAGATCATTTATAGCTACCTCGGTGGCTTTATCTAGCCTACCAGCTGCTGGGTCTGAGCAGGATTTAGCTGAATGTTGTCACCTACACGTGTAGACTTCATCTGTCCATCCTCCACCCTGTTGCCAGGTTCTCTAGGAAACAATTCATCTTGCTCCAAAATAAACATCCTCAATGGTTTATCTGAATATTACCTAAAGGTTCCCACTCCTCCCCATGGGCTGCAGAGTCCAAGTCACTCCCTGGAGACCAGCACAAAGCGGTGTCCATCCTCTGCACCCCAGTGATCCCCAGAGGTGAAGGATGCTCCGGAGAGACTCCAAGGAAAAGTTCTGGTTTCTTCCATTCAGACTGGTAAAATTAAGTCTGAAGCTCTCCCAGCCTTCTCCCCTCCCTGCGTTTCCGTTCCCACCGCAGGCTGGGGTCAGGCTGCATGAGCTGGGTTCCTTTTGACTGAAAACAAACTGAAAAAGGGCTTGAGGGGGGCACCTAATGCAGTTTGACCTCCAGGAGGTGTTCAGATCTCCAGACCACAAATTTAATCCAGAGAAAATGATTCTGAAATATATATTATGTATTATTATATATATATGAAATATATATTACATATATACCATAGGCAGCAGGTCCATGGTACCAGACCTTCTGCTGTCCAGACCTGCTCCTGTTGCCACCCCGCTCCCAAACATCCATCCTGGGCTGTGATGGAACATCCTCTTATTCACACGTATTTTAGAGGGGACCTGCCTGCCTATCTCACAATCAGACAGTGAATTTTTGAGATGTTGAGAGCCAGGTGAACCCATTCCCATGCTCATTCTCCAGTCCAGTGATGATAGGAAAATGATATTTTTGATAGCTGCTCAGATACGGAGGATGTATGTAGTGTACGTCAACTTCCCTCGCAGTACAAGAATTTAAAAAGACACAAGCAAAGCTATCCCAAGGCAACTAATGACAAGAAATTCAAGGCATGAGGTGTCCTTGAGGAGGTCCAAAGGTGAGATGAAATGCAAAGATCTTCCCCAGCTCCCTCTGATGGGGGGTCAAGAGCGGGCAGGGACAAATCACCCCAGTAGTGAGAACCAAGGGAACCACATTGTCTGCACACATCGTGAAGACAAGGATGTCTCTTTCTTTAACAAGACCAAGCTCGTGCCAGCACGGGAGGCCCTCCAGCAAGCCCTCCAGCCGGCCTGGGCTCCAGGCTCTGGCCGTACAGGTGGCTATGGCTATTTCCATCACAAGTGATGCTGCTCCCCTCCCCGGAGCAAGAAGTGGCCCTTGGGGACCAACCACCCTTCCAGGAGTCATCAGCTTAACAAGACCTTCGGGGGTTTCCCAAGAAAGTTTCCTAATCACCATGAAAGCTCCTCCGTGGGCTTGAATTCAACTTACCTCATTCTTCTTAACAAGCCGTGAGAGACTAATTAACGTGGGCTAATAAGAAATAAACTTTCTTCCTTGTTAATAACAAAGTGACTTGTACAGCTGCCTCGCTTTCCAGAGCTGTCCCAGGCCCCGAAGCCGATGAGTTGGACGGTCTGTGCGGTGGCGTGTCGCTGTGGGTCTGGATGGATGGAGAGCAATGCTCCTCAAGGTTCCTCTGATTAAAGCACCTTCCCACCTGCAGGTCCTTCCTCCTCAGTGGGGTGATGCAGGGACCCAGCAGCACCCTGAGCTCCTTGCTGAGGAGGGATGGGGTTGTGCTTGGTGGGAGCACTGGTTGTGGTGGGAGCTGCTTCCGTGCCAGTCTTGGGTCTGCTCGGGGTCACTTCTGCATGTTTCTACCCACTGTTTGCTCCTGGGCAGCACTCTTTTCTCTCCTACTGGTCCACTGGTCTATGCCATAGCTGCTAAAGTTTATTATTAGTCGTTCCCCTGTATCTCATGTTTTATTTTGGAGGAAATCTAAATATTTAGGGAAAATCACACAATTGCTCGAAACTAAGCCAAAGCAATTAATAATAATAATAACAATAATAATATCACCAAAAGTTAATAATAATATCACCAAAATAAGATCAAAACCCCAGGACAGGGAGCAGGTACCCGACCCGCGGGTAATTTCACCGTTACTCAGTGGAGATGCCGGATGATAGCTCTCCGGTCCTTGAGCAAGCTGCAGGCACTGCAGAAGTTTCTCAAATAAATTTGAAAACACCGCTACGGTTGAGCTAAAATAAGCTGCAGAAGAGGCCTGATGAGCATTGCCGTGGCGACTTGTTGTTATGAAGCCCAGTGTCTATTGCCAGTACTGGGAGCAATTACCCGAGTCTTGTGTTCACCAGAGATGTTCCCGTATTTGATGAGAAGAGAGCTCTGGTCATCCTTGTCCCACAGAAAGCAATAGCTGTTACTTGTTGTTGTTCCTCAAGACAACGCTGGTAACGCATTCTCCAACTACAATGGGTCAGCAGGGCTTAAATTCTTGAAATTAAAATAATACCAGGCTGGGAACACAAATAAAAACAGCCAACGCCTCCCTGAGGCAGGTCAGTGAATGGCCTGAGCCGAGAGGTGCTCATGACATGTTAATTTAGGAACAAGTACTCAGGAACAAGGCAGAGGTTTCCCAATCCGTTTGTCCCCAGTAGCTCACAGGAGAACACTGCTGCTTTACACCGTACCGGTGCAGACATGGAAAGTATGAAGGGTTCTGAGAAGACCTCTCCCTTCCTCTGAAGCACCAGGGAAACCTATTTTCGAGAGGAACATTTCCTCTCCATCACTCTCCCCAGCGCCTTCTTCACCTCCTGGTTCCTCAGGCTGTAGATGAGGGGGTTGAGCATGGGGGTCAGCACCGTGTAAAACACAGAGGCCACTTTATCGAGGTCCTGGGAGCGCCTGGAGATGGGTCGCGAGTACATGGACGCGGCAGAACCGAAGAAGAGGGTCACGGCGGTCAGGTGGGACGTGCAGGTGAAGAAGGCTTTGCGCTTGCCCGTGGCCGAGTGCATCCTCAGGATGGTGGCCAGGATGTAGGCGTAGGAGATGAGGATGGTCAGGATGGTGACCAGCAGGTTGAAGCCAACCACAACGAACATCATCATCTCGTTGGCGGTGGGGTCTGTGCAAGAGATGGCGTAAAGCGGGGGCCCCTCGCAGTAGAAGTGGTTGATGATGTTGGGACCGCAGAAGGACAGCCGAAGCGCAAACCCCGTGTGGATGGTGGCATTTGTGACCCCAGCAAGGTACGAGCCAGCTACCAGCAGCGCACAAACCCTGCTGGACATGGAGACGGTGTAGAGCAGGGGGCTGCAGACGGCCACGTAGCGGTCGTACGCCATCGCGGCCAAGAGGTAGCACTGGGTGGTGGCGAAGACGGCGTAGAAATAAAATTGTGCCATGCAGGCGGAGTAAGAAACGACCTTCCTCTCTGCCAGGAGGTCTGAGAGCAGCCTGGGGGTGATGGAGGAGGAGTAGCAGATGTCCAGGCAGGACAGGCTGCTCAGGAAGAAGTACATGGGGGTGTGGAGCTGGGGGTCCAGCCTGGTTAACACCAGCATCCCCAGGTTCCCCAGCAGAGTGATCACGTAGATCACCAAGAAGACCATGAAGAGGACAGCCTGGAGGTCCCCTGCTCCGAGAACCCCAAGAGAACAAATTCAGGGCTGGGGGTGTGATTTCCTTTGGCCGTCATCACGAGACAGTCGCTGCAGGAAAGCAGAGAGGCAGGGAAACTTGGGGTCAGCGCGCTTTTTTCCCAAAAACAAATGTTAACGATGCATTTCTTTATTTCTCTCAGGAAATACAAATCTCAGAGGCAGGAACTGTTGAACAACATATTTTTGTCTCAAAATGCATTTTAAAGCAAAAATAGTGCACAATGGAATTTATTTCTAACGGGTTTGTTGGTTTGATAAAGTCGCTTTGCCAACAGGAAAGCTTATCCTACCCCCCGAGGAACTGAAGGCGTTTGTTACTCATCGATCCAAAGAGATAACCACAGCAATTGATTCAAACATTAGAAATCAAAGTCTGCATGTAAAAGATAATTGAAAGAAAACAGAAAAGAGCAAAAGCACTGGCTAGTGATAGAGACATTTTTTAGAGAATTTCCCTTAGGACTTACAGAACAAATTAAAACAAAGCTCTAATTTCTTCCCTTCCTTTCGTATGAAACGCTGAAATTCAGTTTGAAACAGGAGATTTAGGGCAAGGATTAATCTCCTCTTTCAAGCTGGTGATATCCGTGTCGTTCTTGTGATGCCACCAAGCTGAGAAAGACAACGGCAAGAATTTATACAGGGATTTATACAGGTGGAAACCCCACCGATGTTATGAACTGGGAGGAATACAATGTTGATAATGCAGAAAGAAAAAAAAAAAAGAATTATACCCTTGGAAAGTCCCTTCTGCATGGGGAAACCAAACACACATGTCCAACTTATACGTGAGGCTGCCTTAAATCTGCATCTAGTCCAACGCGTTGCTAGATGTGATTCCTGCAGTAAGTCAGCTGCAGGAGCTTTCACTCCCCTTTAAAACAATCGGAAGTTTGCTGAATAACCCCGGTAGTGCTCCCGTGCCGTGATCTCTGTGGGGCAGCAGTCGGCAGACCCTGCACCCCTGTTCCTTCTGCCCACTTCATGCAGAAGGTCTGAGCCAGCAGCTGCCTTCGATTGGGAAAAGCAGCTTGTGAACGCCCGGGATTGGCGTGAGCCGCCCTGAGCCTGGGCGACGGTGTGAGAACAGGCTCCTGCCTGGAGTCCTCCCCAGATCAACTCTTCGTAGCACTGTTTGGGCTCAAACTCACCTGTCTGCTCCTATCTCGGGGCCGTTTTTTGGTTTATCAGACACTTGTTACCTCCCAGACCAACATTTCATCTGAGCAATGAGCCCCAGTGCCTCCCAGTGTTGGTGCTAAGAGCCAGGATGGTTTGCCAGTCGCAAAGGACATCGACACTTGACCAAGAGGAGCCGCTGCTCGTAGGAGTCTCATCAAAAGCCCAAGGGTTCTGCTGCCCTCCCGGGTGTGTCACGCAGGGAATTCCTCCTGGGAATCAATTACTTTGGAGAAGGTCCTTGAGGAGGTGACATGCACTGATAAACAAACACCATTAGTTTCAGCAAGTTAAATGTAAGCTGGAGTGGTTTTTTCCCACTTCTTTATATATATGTACAATATATATATACGTTTAATAGATATATTAAATATATATTAAATAATA